ATGCCTGAGAAAACAGGATGGTGTACGTATGGAGAGAGCGAGAGACGACGCGATGTGATGGCATGAGGAACATAACATCACGTAATGGAGCCCGCATGGATTCTGACCAGCTCTCTTCCCGCATGATGAAACCATTGGCTTTTCTTGCGTGGCCTTTTCCTTTTTCACATGCATTTGAAAAGAATCCTCACGACGAGTGATCCACCCACTACGTCATGGTTTTGCATCTGGTTGCCATTGAAAAAGGGCCTCGAGTCTCGTCTCGTCGTCGGTCTCTGCACACAACCGAGTAACAACGAACTGGTACGCAATCGTCTTTTTACTTTTTCTTGCACATCAATTGACGGGCCAGTTCCCGTAGATTCGCAAAACCCAGCCACCATGGTTCAGCCCGGGACGTCCCAGTCCTCTTGGGTGGACTTCATCAAACACCCTTTCGTGGGCACCTTCACCTTCTTCTATCTTCTGTTTCAAGCTGTGATCAACTGGTTCTTCGCCCCGGCCCCTCCACCACCCGCTTCGCTCGTCAATGGCCTTCCCAAAAAACGAGTGGCGGTCATTGGCGCTGGGTTAACGGGCGTGTCGGCCGCAGCTCACTGTGTTGGTCATGGTTTCGACGTACAGATCTTTGAGGCGCGTTCCAAAGCGAAGGGACTGGGAGGTATCTGGAGTGTATGTTGGATTGATCCCCAGATTACCAGACCGTAGCTGATACCATACCCGGGCAGAGAGTAAACTCCACATCCTCCCTCCAGATCCATAGTATCATGTACCGGTTCCATCCGTCGGTGAAATATGATAACGCGTATCCGACCCAAGGAGAGATTCGTGAGCAAATCGTCGACGTGTGGAAGCGCTATGGCTTGCAGAAGCATACGGCATTCGAGACGCCCGTGACCTCCGTGAAGCAGACCGAGGATGGCAAATGGATCATCAATGACGACGAAGAGAAGTACGGCCGCTTTGATGGCGTGGTAGCATCGGTTGGTGTCTGTGGGGACCCGAAGATGCCGCCGTTGCCCGACCAGGAGCAGTTCCAGGGCAATATCTACCACTCATCGGAGTTGGATGGCAAGAACGTGGAAGGGAAAAAGGTGCTCATCATCGGTGGCGGTGCCAGCGCCATTGAGGCCCTGGAGTTCGCAGTCCAGTCGAAAGCAGCGGAAATTGATGTCCTGTCGCGGTCGGATAAGTGGATCATCCCCCGGAACGTGCTGGTTCAGTCCTTGTTGGCGTTGAACATCTTTGGCATGGAGACATCCTTTTCGTGGATCCCGGAATGGCTCCTGCACAAGCTCTTCTATCGGGACTTGGAGGATATTGCCCCCTCGGGCGGCCTCTTTACGACAACGCCGATGGCGAACTCGCAGCTCTTCGACAAGATTCGGGAGGGCAAGGCTCGGTGGCTGCGCGGCGATATTGTCTCCGTGAAGGAGAACGGGATCCTTTTCAACCGCCGCGCCAGGAAGGTGCCCAAGGGTGGCCCCGGCCATGAGTCGGTGGTCCCGGGAGATGTTATTATCATGGCGACTGGCTTTAAGCGTCCGTCACTATCCTTCTTGCCGGACGATGCGTTCGAAGAGCCGTACAGTCCGCCGAGCTGGTACTTGCAGGTGTTTCCCCCGAAGTATCCGGAGATTTGCGCCAACAATAGCACCTACGTGGATGCGATTGGAACGGTGGGCAACATGCACATTGGCATCTACACGCGCTTCTTGCTCATGTTCTTGACGGACCCCTTGACGCAACCTACGGAGGGTCGCATGAAGACCTGGATCGACTTCACGCGGTTTGTGAAACAGCATTCCCCCACGAACGCATTCGACTTCTTCACCTACTCCGAACTGATCTACTGGTTTGTGTTTGTGATCCTGGTCAACCCATTCCGGTGGAAGTGGGCCCCGTTCGTGCTGTTCGGCGTTGGCCGCGCGCTCCCGATGGGGGTGGTCCGGCAAGAGGAGTCGTTCCGCAAGCAGTTGAAACAACAGCACTAAAAGCCGCTGGAAGGCCGGCTGCTCTTCCATTCCGGTTGGTGGGACTGGAGAGATGCCGCGCCCTGAAAAGTGGATGACGCGACACGTAGATGATTTCATGAGGTCATGTCTGTTTACATAGTTGACGCATGTTCCGAGGCATGTAGCAAGCGCTTGAATGAATGAACATTTGATTCCAGTTACCATGCAATGGCTGGCCATGCCAGCGCCCTGTAGTTTTAAATCAGCCATGTCAGAAAATCATCGATGGATTCCACGACCAGCCAACGCTAGAACCCGGTGATACCCAGAACTGGCCGAGGTATACTCCGGAGTAGTTATCAACCAACCGTCCTCGATCCAGCGCATCTGAGTTGCCAGGGATCGAACATTCCAGGCCGGAAAATCGGTCCGCTTGACAGGCTTCCTTCCCCATGGGGTCCAATGGATGTATTTGCCGGAGGCCAAGGCTGGAATGACCACGCGGGAGGTGGGAATGCGAATCCGCCTTTGCTCCATACGGGGGTCCCTCAGTGGCAAAACGTCATGGACGATTGGAGTGCTGGATCGAGACTTGGGGACGGCCGTCTTGCCAAGCGGTCCAGAATGGACAGACAGGCCGCAGGTCGGCTCTAGAAAACCGTCTCCATCCAGATTCCCTATGCCTCGGGAAGGTAAGGTGAACTCCAACAACGACAGGGAGTTTGAATCGAGACGAGGAGACGTCATGTCAATCTTTGACTTTCGGAGTGGGAAGGATGGCAAAAAGATTGTTCGGGTCCGAAGAGGGTTCCTCGCACCAACGAGGCCGGATGTCGTGTGGGCTGACGCCTTTACCGTGGTTCGTCTCATAGCTCCGTGAAGCTATTGGTGAGCTCCGGAACCCAATTGATAATCGATGAAGGTTCATGCATCCCACAAAATCGCGCATAAATCCGACAAGGTTTCGGCCCTACCCCAGGGCTACCCTGCCTGTGGATTGTCCGGAATGGATCCTTATCCTCGCATGGTCTGATGGGGGGGATTGTAAAAGGTCGGGTTCACCGGCTGCTGGCTGTCGCGGATGTAGGTTCTGATTGAGTGTAGTCGACCCGATCGTCTTGACCGGGCCGGTTCGGTGAAGGATGGTATGGATCATTGGAAGTTGCGACGAAAGACCTTTGTCGCGAATCATCATGGACCAGGGTTGGCAAAGCCAATCCGGCCGTATGTTATCTCTAAGCTCTTCGGTTTCACATCCTGTGGTGGGCCTGCCGAGGCCAGTAGCGAGGGGAATTGCTATGATCGGCGCCAATTCCTGTACCTAATACACAGTGCGACTACGAGTAGCTGAGCCGTTTGCGAGGGTCTCCTGAGTCTTGGGACCTAACTCTGCCGGGGGTCGGCATCGTGAAAAGCTTACCAGAGGGCGAAGTTCGACGAAGGATTTCGCCATGCTACGAGACCCAATTGGACATCCGCTGTGCTTCTGCTCGAACGACACACACACACACAGAGAGAGAGAGAGAGAGAGAGAGAGACACGCGGTTTCGAACGGCATAACAGGTTTGGTATGGTTCATGCGAGTCGCATCCGTTGGGCAGACTGCGATTGCATCTTGGGCCATCTCCACCGGCGCGGGTGGGGATACCACATCGTCCCTGCGTTGGTCAGCTCCACATTCCCTCGATTCTGGTCTCTGGACCCTGAAAAAATCTTTTTCCTTCGTGGGGAACGAGCGGTTTCCCACAACAGCTCTGCACGAGTTGACGTTTACTGGCATTTCCGCCACGTTCTGCTTGCCCGTCCATCCGGCGTTGTGCCCCGTATGCATGCTAAATCGGGGGTGTTCCTATGTTCTGTGAGGAAGCAGTTTGCCTTCCCAGGCGATATATTTAGAAACCCCGAGACAATTGCAGTCCCTAATATGGTGCCCATGCGCCCCATTGGCTCGTGCGGATGGAGTCCGATGGGCTCTTGGAAGGAAGTTGGTAGTAGCCAGAACCCTAAGAGGAACTTCTCGATGTCAAGGAACAATGTCCCGTGCAGTTGACCCAAATAAGGGATCTCAATCACCCCCCAAACACGACTTGGCAACCCGCTAAAACGAGGAGATTCCAGCTGTTGACCCAATGATGCCCGTGGTTGCGGCCCGCGTCTTTGGGTTTATGGACCTCGGCCCACATGGCGTCCCGATGGTGGTTTTACTCGTCGCACTCCAACCACAGCTGAGCTGAACCATTAATAAAATTTACTCTGACTGGTGGGGACTCCATTGATCCTTCGGCCCTTCCAGTCCATTCATGTATACGAATCTGCTGATCAGGGGCCTCGACGTTCCATTGCCCTCGAAATCCATTGGCAACCAGACTGCATCTCGGGGATGCGACCCAGCAGAAAGTCAAGGCCACTTAATGTTGGGCATCGGCCTTCGTTCGGGCATGCTGGGGCCTTGGATCACCTCGCACTGGTATCCTGGGTTAGGATAATGGCTCATCTTCTTTCGAAGCACTGCGGCCGGAAAGGGGTGATGGCGATATGGCTAGCCGTTGAGGACGAGCTGGCCCCGATCTGGTCCATGGCGGTTGTTTGTCATACCGTCGATGAAAAAAAAAAAGCAATGTAAGCCCTAACGGTTTAGCAGCTGACTCTATCGAAACAGGTTGGGGACGAGTATCCAGGGAGTGGATCTCGGAGTGCCAGCCGCGACGATGGATCTTCGCTGCTCCCAAACAGGCAAGTGATAAGTGCCAGCGGATCTTGTCCGGCTCAGAATAAGATTCCTCGATCGTAGAGCACTTTCTCAATTCATGGAGATCGGAGTGGCCATCCCCTATGTCGACCAATCTTCGCACTAGGGTGTAAGTTTCTCCATTTTTGGGACCAACCCATTGGCAAATGACAATCTCGTCAACTTGGCTCGCCTGCCTCGGACGTGCATCTGTTATATCATGCATGCAGCAGCCCACTTCGTGACCCCGGGGCTAGTTGATGCACAGCGACGTCTGCTTTCATCCACACAAGGGCCTTGTTCTTTTGCCATTCGTGATGGCAGATCTTGGCTTTTACAATGACAAGTCATTTCTCCCTGAACAATGGACCGAGTTCGGCCTCGGCGTTGTCATAGTATTCGTGCGCATGGGTGTGCGGATCCGGACGGTTGGTGTTCGAGGTTTTCAAGGCGATGATTATTTCGCGTTTCTGGTAAGAACAACTCTTTCTTCCTGATGCCCCTGCCATGCCAGTATCTGGGAATGCTAAAGATATGTACTAGGCGATAGGCCTCCTAACCATGGATGCGGTCACAGTACATCTCTCATGTAAGAACATCTCTCCCAAGGCTGGGTGCCGTCGATGCTAACGTCCAAGAAGACGTATTAGGCACCAATCTGGAGATCCCGCACGGTCTACACGATTCCCTCACACCGACCCAATATTCCTCGGTTGTAGCAGGCTCCAAGGCGGAACTCGCTGCCTGGTACTCCTACACGGCCCTGATCTGGGTCATGAAAGCCAAAATGCTATTCCTATAGTGAGAACCTCTGCTGCACCCTGATCACACCCAGAAGCTAAGACGAAATCCCAATGAAATAGCAAGCGTTTAACCATTGGATTATGGCAATCACGGGTCATCAAATGGCTCGCGGCCTTTTGTGCGATTGCCTACGTTGCGGTCTTTCTAACCGTGACGTTTGGATGTCATCCGTAAGAACCCTAGGATATCTGTCTCTGTTCTTATGCATACGCCCATATGCGCTAACACGCCCTGCCTAGCATCTCGAATAACTGGAGAGTATATCCTCCACCATCCAGTAAGGACCTGCTCCTCTCGCGAGGGCTGCATGATGTTAATGCCATCTAGAACAGTGTGGACTCAAAATCCAAAACGTGATAGTGACATGCATCTTGAACGTCACGTATGCATCTCTCCCGCAGTCCCCTCTCGTTGCAATCGAGCTGACCCGTCCCTGACATAGCACTGACCTAGCACTGTAAGGAACTCAGACAGCCCAGAATGTCCCCTCTTACTCATATCTCATCGATCCAGGCTTTTCATCCCAATCCCATTGCTCTGGAAAGTCAAAACATCGCTCTCTAGGTAATGCGCAATGCACAAGGATCCCTCAAGAGAAGACCCCTCCTAACTGACCTCCTCCTCGGGAATAGAAAATTCGTCATCGCCATATTCCTCAGCTCCGGCATCTTCGTCATCGCCGCGTCGATTATTCGGACTACTCTCACATTGGAAGCGGAGCCGTCTAGCATCACCGTCAACCGATGGGGCATCCGCGAAACCTTTGTCGGCGTCGCCACAGTGAACCTTCCCATCCTGCGCCCGCTGTTTACGAAGAGATTCTGGAAGTCGGGCTACGTGGAGGATGGCTCCAGCGGCCATCCATACGGGTATCAAGGCGGATCGGAATCATATAACCTGACGACACAGACCAGGAAGAGCGCACGGCGGGAGAGCATGAAAGCAATTAATGAGTCCAGCGAGGATGGAAGCTACGACGTCTATGTCAGTACCAGCTATAATGTGAAGGTCGAACAGAAGGATACGCGCGAAGGCGAATCATCCGACAGCCATCAGTTCGGACTCCACCCCAGTAGTGTTTGGGAGATTGATAAAAAGTCGATAGTCTAATGGAGCACTCCGGCCAGGCCTAGACCTTGGTTTGTCTTTTGACACTACGTTTATTCTAGACCAGAATTTTATTCATGTATGTTCGTGCTAAAAAAAAAAAGAAGGGAACTGGGGGCGAGAGCGGCTTCGAGCTCCACACCCCTTTTAAGGCAGCATGGGAGTGGTAACCCCTATCAGAGGGAGAGATACTACTAAGACACACTTTCATTAATAGCTTGTGTCTACTATATCCATGGTGCCTTCAGATCCTTGGCTCAGTCATAGATCGGCCAGTCCGCCGAGCTTGCGCGGGGACCAAAAATCGGGTTCACTCCAGGGTTATGTGGTGAGGGGATACATTAATTGGCTATAAACGTTGCATTGTATAATTAGGGTCGATAGCCTTGCAGACCGAAACAGGATAGGATCGCGAGCAATAAGAATTCATGCATATTGGCATCCGCAGATCCGTCAAGTAGGGGTGGCAGCGAGGTGGGCTTCAGTCGTAGGATGGGAGCAGCACCTCGTACTCATAGTCCAGGCGATCGGCAGAGACGAGACCCATCGTCCCTATGGGAAGGCCCTGGGGTGGAGCCTTAAGTTCGTCTCCGAGCTGTATCGACGCAGAATCTTCGTGTTGGTCCACAAGGCGTGAGATCGGGATCGGCGCCGATAAGAGTGCGTTGAGGATATGGGTATGGCCCACCACCAGGCGCAAGTCACGGTCGGGATGGGAACATTCCTCGTCCAGTTTTCGCTCGCATATGCGAAGTAAAGTCAAGTGGTGTCTGTCCATTTATGTGCGCTGCTTTCGGGCATGATAGGACTCATGTTGTTTGTGTCCCGGAAGATGTTGCAGTACCTGCACCCCTCTTCGCTCTTATAAGGAGTACTTGCAGTCAGATGCTTTCCTGCACTGCACCAGGCGAGGCCCATCGGAGAGCCCTGTCGACGACAGGCTAGACCGTGAGCTCTCGGGTCAGCATATTGGCACGACTCGTGGTTGGTCTCCAAGCTTTCTTCGCCGAACCAGAGGCACCGCGAACCTAAACCCCCAAACGCCTGTTCAAGTGATCTCGCCACTGCCAATCGTCTAGAAGTGGCCGAACTGCCCCAGGTCCAATCCTAATGCGTCGTTTGACGGATTGCCTAGCTCAGTGGCGTGATTTGAAAGCTGCTCTTGTGTCATGATACCGAACCTCATCCCCGTCACCTCATACGAATACAGCTAATCCAGCACCGTATACATATCTCGAAAATGGTCTATCGTAGCAACCTCAACACGGTCGCCCGTCGGATCCCCAGCTTGATTGCCGTCACTCCCAAGCCTCGAGTGCAGCCATGCGTCGTCGCGGCGCCAGGGAGGCTCCCGAAAGCCAGAGCGATGACTCTGATGCCTCAGTTCCACCGAGGCCCTTCCGCTATTAAACGACTGCTGGATGACTACGATCGTTATCTATCAGGGCATTCCCTCGATCCGCATCCCCGGGCATACGCACCCACTTTTGACATGCGCGAATCGAAGGATACCTACCAGCTGGAAGGGGAGCTCCCCGGCGTGAAGCAAAGCGACGTGGAGATCGAGTATGTTGACGCGCACACGATCAATATCAAAGGGCATACGGAGCATGCGTCTGAGATGGAGGAAGGGTCCTGGTGGATATCCGAACGGTCCACTGGAGACTTCCGCCGGTCATTCAGCTTCCCATCCGCTGTTGATCAGGAAAACACCCGTGCGCGGCTGAAGGATGGAGTGCTTTCGGTGACGATTCCAAAGGTGGCCTCTACTTGGGATGTGAAGAAGGTGAAAGTGGAAGAGTAGGGGAAGGGAAACTGGACTTCAAATTGCTATGGCGATGCGACATGAAACCACGTTCTCTCGGTCTTTCTATGCATGGCGTTTGCTTTGGCGCATTTATCCTCTCACACCAATGTGTGACAGCTTCTTCGTCAAGTTGTGTATAGGGGAAATTTGATACGGGGCGTGATGGGCTGGGGGTTTCACTATTTTTCTTATACGCATATTCAGCGAGACTAAAATGTATCCTTTCTTTCTCTGCCCTCCCTGTTCTTCCTCAGCAGCTTATATCAATTTACTTTAATCATTACAAATCGACCTCAGCCGTAGGATAGCTGAGACTTGATCAGGAGTGCCGACTCTCGTAGTGCATAAATATACCCAACCGAGGCCATTCCCCTGTCACAGAAACAGCAATCCACATCGCATACAGCTCCCTTCACGCGTAGCCCAATCGACGTGCTAGGAAATGATCCACCGTGGGGTTGATACGCCGATTCTGAATCGAATGACGACATCGGGCAGCGTGCAAGCTTCTCCCGGCAAAGCGATCCAGCGTTTGAGGCGGATATATCTCACACCTCCCCACGTTGAGCCGAAGGGTAATTCGGTCCCAGACAGTGGATTTCCCCTCATGCTTTTCGTGGTACTCCTTGCGTTGTCGTTGTGATTTCCCCTCTCAGGCCACTTGAGCGATTAACTTGGACGAATTAAAGTTTAGGGTGAGCCCTCCCTTACTTCGTATATAGAGAAGAGACACCGGCCATCCCAGCAACACCCGTTCCTTGATCTTGCGCCAGCGCATTCTCCAAGATAAATCCAGAGCGTCTAGAGATGAATTCGACCGAGATCGAACCTAAAGCCACGAAGCACGCCGCAGAGATTCATCTCCAAATCCGGGTCTTGTTGGCCATCTGCGTCCTGATTTATATCGTCACAGCCCTCTGGTAGGTACCACTGCGGAATCTCAGCGTAACTAGCACATGTCATCGGCTGATGATCGTATGCGTAGAGAACTAATCTGTAAGATTTACCAATAGGGTCCTGTTGAGAAGCTATTATATTACCACGCTGCATCTGGACCTCAGTGCCATCTTCGATCCGTCGTTCTCGGCTCCCACAGCCACAGAGGAAGAGAGAAGACTGAATCTGCTGGAACGAGTCGCACCGACCAAGCCGTTTCTAACGTGGTGGAAATCGGTTCAAACCGAGCGCAGCCCCCTCAAAGACTACGATCGTGTATTTGACTGGTACGCACCTTGTCTTTCCTGGAAAACCGTCTACCGTGGAACGATCTCATTTGGACTCACACCTTGCCAGCGCAATTTGCCTCGAGCCCGTTTCTAAAACGTGCCCAATCCACATTCTTCCCTGCCGACATGTCTTCCACAGCCGGTGCCTGGAGACATGGTTCTTGAACTATCACTACACTTGCCCACTGTGTCAGAAGCCTTTTCATGTTCGCGTAGAGAGCAACCCTGATAGCGCGGTGTAAGGTCTGTGAAGCAGGTCTGTGCATTTGTAATCGAGCAGAAGCTATGCTAAATACACTGAAGCCAATTCCCGGTAGCTTATTGCAACTTGAAATACCCCCTACACAGCCCATCCGACGTAAATACGCCCTGAGGATCAACCTCCCTCTGAATTCTTCTCAGCCTCTGCCGGTTTGCCTCGCCATAGCCTAAAAACGGGTCTTGGCCCTTGCTCGCGTAGTTGATATAGAGCCATGGATTATGTTTTCCGGCATCTTTGGTGGCAGCAGTGGCCCTCTTCACCCATTCTGCTGCGAAAGCATTCATCCGGTCGTCATCTTCTGCTTGTTGCCATCGGACAGTCAACAGAGCAACTGTAGAATGTTTAGCATAGAGTCTGCCTTGCAGCGACAGCATGGGATCACGGTTTTGTACTTGCCTGATAACGGTCCATCAGCATCTATCCCGGCAGCGTTTCCTCCTCTTGCTTTCCCTGCGCGAATGGCGGCCTCGTACAAGGGCTGGATAACGAGATTGGGGAAGAAACCGGGCGCCTTCTTGAGAGGCTGGATCTCTTGGGCCATTATATCCTGAATGTGCCTGTCAAGATCCGCAGATGGGGAGTAGGTAACTGTGGCGAATAGGTTTCTGTGACCAGTCAATCCAATACGGCCTCTTGTATAGGAACTGGATTAAACAACTTACCGACCACCAGGCGGCGTTGCCGACGCGACTTCAATACTAAACTGGCTGGTCCGATCAAGGCGAAGAGTACTGCGCTCAAACGGGATTTGATTGAGTTGCTTGAATGGCGCGGGATTCAAAACCGGCAGCGAATACTCCGGCGAAACCGCAATGGTAAAGTCGTCTCTCTCCTGGTCATAGCCATAGTCATAGTAGAACGCCATATTCGTATCGTTCTTCCAACTTGTTGTTAGTTCGTAGGCTTGCTCCAAAATAGCGTCTCTCTGATCGGCTGTATAGGCTCTAGACCCCCCGAACATCTGGCCCTGCCGGACAGCCTTCATCGTAAAGTGAGTGACGATACCGAAATTGTTCATACCTCCCCGGAGAGCAAAGTAGAGATCCGGGTGTGTCTCTTGGTTGACAATCGCAATAGTGGCATTGGGTAAAACGATCTAACCATGTTAGCCCCATATTGCACGAAGAGTAGCGCACTTCCCCATACCTCATACTCGAAGATGTTATCCATGGCGAGCCCGTACTTGGACGAGAGATGAGAAAATCCTCCGCCGAGGGCATAGCCTCCCAAACCAACATCGGCGACTCGTCCGCCAAGCGTGGTCAAATTGTACTTCTCTAATCCCTGGTACAAGCTCAATAGAACGTGGCCACTCCCCACTTTGGCGGTTTTCTGATCGGGGGATACCTCGACTGATCTCATCTTTTGCATGTCAATGGTGACGCCGCCAGGTGAAACAGAATCATCGGGGTCTCGTGCATGACCACCACCCTTGACCGCGAACCGGCATGAGGTGGTGATGATAACATCCAGAATGGCTGACACGTCTTCTGTTGAAGAGGGCTGGACCCAACAGGCGGAGTGTGTTTCCTGTTGCTTTGTATCCCAAAGAGTAACATTGGCATTACCGAGGGAGTACGCATCGGGTCCGAAGATACTCGCTAAATGGGAACACTGCAGCCATCTTAGAAAGCTATTCGCAATAAGATCAGAAGTACTTACTGCTTGGACACATTCGGGTACAACAGGGGTATTTTCTTGGTTGGCGATTGCTGCCCCAAAGGCGATAACTGGGCCAACAGCCAGGAATGCAGTAATGAACGCTGACCTGATTCCTGTCATTGCTCTGAGAATACAATTGTTGCTCATGAGTGTCTTGTAATGATGCTCATGGGAAAGATGGGAGCCTTATATACCATTCGACAGAGACTGTTCCTGGCTATAGAGTCGTAAATACGGCGATCTGCAACACGCTCACTCCGGAGGTACGATATTAACTCCTAATTGATCTTTCTGAGACATGCCTTGAATGTTGGGCTACCATTCGACTGACTACTGTGATAGACGTGCAGATAGTCAGGCCGCTGCAGGGTGAACGCACTCACACGTACTCCGTATCATTACGGAAATGTGTATTCTTCATGGAAGCAAGAATGGAAACTGTAACGGGCCATATTATGGGACCTATATCACCGTTGATAACAACTACATACAGGTTTGTGATTGAACGGTGGGAGCTTGCCAGCAGCAAGGAGTTATCACCCCTCCCGTGCCGTATCAGCGACAAGACTATAGGATATGCAAGTATAATCACAACTAACGTAACCTGCTGAGGTGGAATGTTCTTAAATCCGAGAACATCCTTGCACCGAGTGGGTCTGCGTAAGCAAGTTGCAGTGACCTAACTTTGCCGATCTTCCTCTACAACAGAAGATGGATCTGTCGGCCAATGTCTTCAGAACGCTTGAAGCTTTTATATATGCAGATAGCCGGGCCTTGGGGACGGACACTTGAATATAGAACAAATATAATCCCATGAATCCAGTATATCTTTGGGAATGATGACAGCGAAGTCTTGCCGTGTGGAACTCGGTAAGGCCATCTTGCCTGCCAGACGCAATGCTCGAAGCACTGAATCGAGATACACCTATGGCAAGATAGACTTTCATTGGACCTGGATGCTTTCAATAGTGTGGCCTTGTCGCAGCGAGTAACAGCCATTCAGGTTTATTCAATACTGTGCATGATCATTGACTGATCAAGACCAGAGCCTTCGAGAACTGAAGATACCAGTTAGTATCGCTAGGTAGAATTTGTACTTCGGTCAATATTCAAACAGCTGCATTAAGCGACGCATCACGTTTGCCAATGGAAGATTCGCTCGTTTCTCCTTCGCCAACCCTTGCACTGCAAATTCAGTTGCCAGATCCCTTCCTTCACCTCGAAGAATCCAGACAAGGCATATTTAATATCCCTTCATGGTCTGTCTCTCGACTGTTATGCCCTCCATGACGATTCCAGTCCCTTCCCCGTTCGAAGAACATTTCGCAACGATGCATTGTACACCATTTCTCAGCCTGTACCTGTGCTACCCTCATGTCTCTGAATAACTTGAGAAACTTAGCCCTTTCCCCGTCGGAGCTGCCACATCACGGAGCATGAAACCACTACATAAGAAAGTGAACGATCACATTTATCAGTCCTCCACATGAACCGGGATAAATACCCAGCGTGGGCTGTGAGCTGAGTCTCATGTCTGTCAGCAAGACGACGTAGGAGTTTGAATCAGTGAGCATCCCCTCCACAGCTGACAGATTTTGGAGGTCTCAGAAGGAGACCATAATACGCCGGTACTAACGGACCTAGTCATGATCGAAGTTACATACCTATCAGACAATGCAGAAGGCAGACGCCAAGGAAGGCGGAGCGTGTCTGAGAATCATGATTTGGAATGTATTGGTTGTGCACTCGACCTAATCCCAACGGATGGTCGGAATAATCGCGGACGAACAGGAATCGAAGCTATCAATGATTCTGCAGCTGAAGAGGATGGGATCCGTATAGTATGTGGTTAGCGCCAATTAGGGCTAAGCGAACTTCTTCCCTGTCACATGCTGGACGAATCACGTTGGAACTCGCCTTAGTCTGCAACTTGAATGCACATCGCAATCTATCCTGCATTGGACAAGGACGATACTCCATTGATTTGCCAAGAACGTACAGATAGCCTTATGCCGTGGAATGCATGGGAATGCCCGACGCGACACAATCATTTTTGCTTGATTTCGCATTCACCTCGCGCTATTACAGGCTCTTCTCCGTTTGAATGTGCGATTGTTGCTGCTCGACAAGGCCTACGTTAGAGGGATGGATACGGCACCCCTGTTTCTCTTCAAGACAGGCGAGGCTGGCCATGGTTCCAAGAAGACAAAGGATCCCACTATTGGGTGACAACTATCTCTGAAGTGTCGACGATTGGTAAACCCGATGAATGTGAACCCTTCAGAACCGTACCATGCCTGAGACTATTGTCACTAGCGCAACGTTTGCGGAACAGGCGGTCCATGCCTTCCAAGAAGCTAAAGGCAAGAAGGGTCCTGTTTCAGCCTCTAATATTATCGATTTGGCGTTAATTTTTCCGCGACAGGGCTGTCCAAGGGTCCGGACATGGCGCATACACAGCAAACGCAGCTCGCTAACCAAGGGACAATCGCCCTTCAGTGGCGGCCTGTTTTCCCCATGGTAGGGCCCATGCTGAGCTCAACTGCCAAGATCGTATCCGGAAGTTGTCTGTCGAAAGCCACCGATCATTTCCGGAATCAGTCCGAAGTGCCGCCGTTTGACTTGCTCCCTGACGAGCCCTAACCGTGAACTGAGCGCCGTCAACCAGATCAGAGAACATTCAGAGTCAATTGTGATGCGATTGGCGGGGAGCGAAAGAATTGGCCTAAAAAAAGGCCACGGAGATCCACTCCGTCGGTCGAGGAGCCGAGTTGAGTCTTAGCCCGGTGGGGGACCAGCTTTTAAACAACCGATAGCGTCGGAAGATTTCTACCGGCATGGATTTCTGTCTGACAGTCAAGCAATTGGGGTTTGGGATAAATTATGCCAAGACCTTCCCCTTCTCCTGCTCAATTTCGTTCCCTCCTTCGGCTAGAGAAACCCTCTCGATTAGTTCCAGTATGCTGGCACGTCTCCATCACCTGCTCTTAAACTGAGACCGATGGGGCGCACCAACGAGCAACGGCGAACCTGTCCAGGGAGCCATGAGATGGGTGTCAACTGTATCAGCGAGAGTGCACGGACACAGCGACCGATTTATAAAGCCCGCTAGAGAACGACAACCCGATTGAAGAATCCCAGAATAACACTCAAACCAGATTACGATAGGCTGATCTCCTACGAAAAGCAAGATGCATTCCTCTCTTCTTCCCATGCTGGCAGCGATGCTGCTGAGCCCAGTTAGCGCAGCCGGAGTCAGCGGTACAGCCTTTGGATTTGCTCAAGGAACGACCGGCGGAGGAAGCGCAACGCCACAGACCCCTTCAAGTCTCGACGAGTACGTGATTAAACCGTGATTGGTAGTAAAGATGAAAGATCCTCTGACTATGACACAGGTTGAAGACTTGGATCACAGACGATGTGGAGCGGGTGATCCTCGTTGACCGCGAGTGGGATTTCACCAGCACCGAAGGCCAGACTTCTGGCCAATGTTGCAGCTCTGATACCACCACGAAGTGCCCTGGTGGCACCTCCGCCGGTCAGGCATGGATTCAGGACAAGTGTGATGACGGTACCTGGGTCTCTTGCACCTACGACAACGCTGCGAAGACCCCGCTGGACGTGGGCAGCAATAAGAGTATTGTCGGTGTTGGTAACAAGGGAGTTCTCAAAGGCAAGGGCTTGCGTCTTACTGGTGGCGCCAATAACGTCATCATCCAGAACATCCATATCACGGTACGAAGCCGACCTAGCTTCGCAACAATGTGGGAATACAAGGGCTGACCGGTGTCATTTCATGCAGGATTTGAACCCACAGTACGTCTGGGGCGGTGACGCTCTCACCCTGGATGGCACTGATAACGTTTGGATTGACCACAACAAGGTATGTTGATCTCTTTGATTTGCTTCCCTCATCGCGTCTCGTTTGATGTCTAACGAAAAATGTGTCCAGTTCTCCCTTATTGGTCGCCAGATGATTGTCAGCGGCTGGAACAAGGGTGGCCATGTCACCATCTCCAACAACGAGTTCGACGGTGTCACCGAATGGTCGGCTGGCTGCAATGGCAAGCACTACTGGTCTCTCCTGCTCCTGGGTCTGGAGGATTGGTATACCTTCTCTGGAAACTGGCTTCACGATCTCTCTGGCCGTGCCCCTCACATGGGCACTGACTACGACGACTCTAAGATCTATTTCCATGGCGTCAACAACTACTTCCAAGATATTGACGGACATGCCTTCGACGTGGACACCAACACTTGGGTGCTCCTGGAGGGTAACTACTTCGACAACGTGAAGACCCCCATGACCGATACTTCCCTCAACAGTGGTGCTCAGCTGTACACCACCAGCACCGTCGACTCCGCCAGCGGTTGCATCTCACCTCTCGGCTACATCTGCGAATGGAACCGGTCGGGCGGCAGCACTGGCACCTGGCCTGACCGCACCGACGCCTCGGTCTTGACCGGATTCTCCAGCCTCAAGGAGCATCTCATCGGCCACACCGGTGTCGCTGATGTCCCTACCAATGTCAAGGCCAACGCTGGCGTTGGCAAGCTGTGAGTTGCAACTGGCATGCGCTGAGCATGGCGACCCTGGAAGACTGTTGGAACTATCAGGCGCTTTTCTTAATCATAATCCTGGATATTTATTGTAGATATTGCTCATTCTATACTTCACACAATATAAAAGAAGCTCAGATTCTCGAGGGTCAACATAGTCCACATTCCCAGAAACACTTGGGAATAAATAGTGTCTGATTTGGGTAGTCGTGGCTTTGGTAGCATGACTCATATTACTCAGTATGGGCGAGTGAACGTACTTGAACTTCGATATCTATTAGGTTCGTGCCAAGTACCGACGCTCTTCAGACCCGGAATATCACTTATCGTCGGTTAGTATTTTCTTCTTCTCCCTCGGCTCTGATATCGCAATGACTAGAGCATGCTGCGTTCCCTTAGGCACGCCGTGGCCAGGGCACACATGCATCCATATGCTGCCATGTACAAGTATATAGTCTGGCTGGCAGTCAGCGAGCTCAAATGAGTGAAGGATAGAATTGCCGCGCAGCACAGATCAACACGGCAGTTGAAAGTACAGATTGTCTGGTATAGATTGCCCAGGCGCTGATCATCTCGGTAAATGGCCCGGAAATGTATCGGATTGCGACGATCCCGAGACAGGGCAAGCTGATAGCGTCAGTAGTGGAAGGAGTGGCAAACCTGATGAGCACAAGATAAGAAATAAAGGGACAAATTTCACCCAGAGATCTGTATTTCAGTCAGCAGCCAGCGTAGACCTCACAGTCCTACCAACTTCGTGAGTAGACAAACCGGCCAGTGCTGACCAGATAAATTCAATCTGTTCGATCTTCTATTCCCCAGCTCAACTATCCGTTTACCCAGATTCCTTACCAGGCAATCAGTGCCGCAATCCATAACGTCAACCCGAGTCCTCTGTAAGGTGCAGGCGTTGATGAAAATATGGACGAGACCTTGACGAGGGGTATGGACCAAGGACACTGCATCTACGGCACCTTTGGTGGGAATCCCGGCATCGGACAAGGCTCTGCCGCCATGCGTGTGTATGACAGCCTTAATTCCAATCACCAGAACGACTCCAATGCATTGTTTGACCGCTGAGTAGGCACAGGCTAGCCAAACAACATCGTTGAGCGCACTAGGTGTTGGCATGCCATCGGAACGAGAGGCAGTATGGGCCATAAGAAAGTATAGAGCGTAGTGATTAACGCTGTGAACCTAACATCCTTGCTTCCATGGCGGCCGCGGTCGATAAGGGCTCGGGAATTCAGTTAGTAGTTGCAAGACGAACGCCACGGGAAAGAAGGCAATAGAATTACCAGGATAGTTGAGAGACGGTTGGAAGTCGGGATTGATATGCGCCAACACCCGGGTATTTGTTATGCGATTGAGATGACCACAAGAGGGCACGCATCATCATCATCCTCGATACCTCGCACACCGTCGGTTAAGTGTTGGCCGACAGTCTACAAGGATATGTTGGTTGTTATCGGGGAGGTTGGGCACGTCGAAAATTGGAACGGAGATGAGCGAGAGAGCGGCTATTGGGAGGGTAGATCTTTCCAGTGTTCTGCAGACGCCTGGCCCTACTGACACTTTGCTAAGGCTCGGGGGAACCTGGTCAGCCTAGCAAGGCTAAAGCGGGCTTTCCATCCTCACGGTCTGATTATACTGATCAGCACGGTGGATGCTTTGGATCCTGCAGGAAGCATTTGAAACCGTGCATCCAGACGCTAAGTTCCGAAGTAGTATTTGCACAGCCTCAGAAGAGGTTCTCATGGGTTCTCTCAGTATCCTGAGGCTTTTCTCAGCACGGGTTGGAAAATTATTACTTTCAAATGGGTCACACGCGGTGTCCAGCAAGTCCTGTCCCGCGAAACTCCATGTGTTCTAGATCAGATGAAGGCATCGGACGAAACGAAACAGAAATGGCGAGTTGGGGTGATTGGACACCTTGTTCGATGCATCCGTCCCAACTGTCCTAATTCTCTCGGGTCCTTTTTGTGCTCAAGACCTCGGCCTTCCGCAGCAACGCGTTTCTCCACTACTACATCTGCGGTGCGCCCGCCAGTGATGCCGTGGCTGAGATCTTGACTGGTGGTGTGAATCTTGGCAACAAGTTGCCTATCAGTCAATCTTCATCGCACGCATTGCGGTCTGAATGGTTTGCGCAGACAACAAGCGGTTCGAAGCCTTGCATTGAAGTTTGGTGGATCACATAACATTGCTTGTCTACATAAACCGTGAACTATATGGTCGACTTTTCAGACCGTATCCAAATTTCCTTCCAATAGTCCTCAAAAAGAAGAAACGACTTGCCCACTTAAGCTTTCAAAAAAAGAAAGTTATGCCGGCGGCGTTCGTTCTGTTTCACAAACGAAACTGTGGATGGCCCGGTCATAACCTGGATCCCTCGGTAGAGACCACTTTAGAGGCAACTAATCATGCTTTATCGAGTGCCTGTATACGAAATTCCGTTGTTATTTTCACTACGATTTGCACCTCATGCAACCCTAACGGGAAGTGCGCTCGGATAAGGTCAAACAGGGGTTGAGGTTACATTCGTTTAAGTAAACAAAAAAAGCACAAGAAAGGCATGTAACCGTCGTGTGTTTGAGATTTGGATATTAATAGAAAGGTGTTAAAGCTCAACAGACAAGATCCTAGGTGCGGGTAAAGAGCCTAGCCCTCCTAAATACGACTTCAAGGGTTCAAGATAGTGTGGGTCCACGGACCGACAACTCTAATCGGACCAAATTTGGACCAAACACAACTAAAGAAAGGTTGAGAACCTTGGATGCGAAGATTTCCCCTGGCTTTACCGATATAGTCAAGATCGACGCGGTCGTGAGGCTGTTGTTGATCTTTGTGCACGGTTTCTTCTACTGGACCATATGAGGTGTTGGACTGACTAGCCTTGTATCTTAGATCCACTTGATTATAGAATTCATACCAAGTCCTCGCGCAATGAGTGGAGAACATCATCCGGTCTGAAAAAGGGAGCGGGATGCCGGTTAACGGTGTGATGGAGTCTAGCCAGTCCCAAGGACTGGGTGTAGGTTTCTTTTTGAAACTTGGATAGCACGGTCTCAAACATGGAGCAACCCTGATTTCCATCGAGATCCCGGTCGATTGCCCACAAATCAGAAGAATAAACAGAAGAGAAAGGAAAAGAAAGAGAAGGCATATAAGAACCGAGGAGACCCTCGATATCACATCTCACCCAGCTATCCAATTCAATTCACTCCTTCAAGTTTCTTATATTGCATTTTGCTGCCTTCTCGTCTGTGTACTGTTCGTTCTTTTCCTTTCTTTTCTCTCTTTCTGGGAAAGATGAAGACTTCCACCCTTTGCACTATTGCCTTCTCAGCCACGGCCCTGGCGGTTCCGGTGTCTGTGACTACCGGTGATCATGGCCGGGTCGACCCTGTGCCTGGCCTTGCCCCGGAGACTGAGGCGCGTGCTCGCCTGCAGTCTCGCACCTTTTTCCCTATGGGCAGCCTTTGCCCCCCATGTGGTGAAGAAGGAGCCAGTCTGAAGGCTCGCACATTTCTCCCTCTAATTCAGGACTTGATCGAGCACAAGATGAACAAGTTCGGCCTCTGCTCGCCGTGTGATACCAACACCAACACCAATGCCAACGACAATTCCAACGACAACTCCAACGATAACTCCAACACCAATACCAATGATAATACCAATAACAATACCAACAACAATACCAATAATAATTCAAACACCAATAACAATTCCAACACGAACACGGTGACCAACAACATTAATGGCGGCACACCTCCGACTGGCGGTACTCCCCCGACTGATGGTATGCCTCCGACTGATGGTATGCCTCCGACTGGTGGTATACCTCCTACAGGCGGTACTCCTCCAACCGGTGGCACTCCCCCAACTAGTGGTACGCCTCCCACTGATGGTATGCCTCCGACTGGCGGTAATCCCCCTACCGGTGGCACTCCTCCCAGTGGTGGGAACCCCCCTACTGGCGGTAC